CCTCCCTCCCTCCCTCCCTCCCTCCCTCCCTCCCTTCTTCTGTGTAGCCCTGGCTGTCCTTGAACTTGCTCTGTAGACCAGGCTGGCCTTGAACTCAGAATCTACCAACCACTGTCTTACAAGTGCTGGGATTAAAGGCATGCACCACTGTACCTAGCCAGTACCATGTTTTATGTACACATACAGCTTGATTTTCTTTAAAAAATTTTTGTCAATATTTTTATATGTTTTAGATAATAATTTAATGGGTAATAGAGTACTGAATGTAATTTTATAAGTATGATTATTAATTTTAAAGAATTGAATCATGATTTTGAGATATGTATAAATACAAGGTGAGAACATTTACTGAAGATACAAGAATATTTACTTTTATATAATGTATTTATATGTACAAGTCATATATTTGTATTGCCACTTTAGTAGAATAGTATGTATGTGCTCACCTGTAGGAGGTTTATAGTAATATTATAAAGACTAGGAGAAAATGGACTAATTGTGTCTTATAAAGGTCAAATTTCATATGCTTTAAATAACATTTTCTGGGTGTACTTTGGTATTTTTCTCACGTTTTAGAGTGATTATATGCTTGTAATAAATACCTCAGTATTGTTTCGCAGAGAATTTGTACTAAACGGTTTTCTTTTTCCCCTTAATGGAAAGTGTTTTTCAGCTTATAACGTTAATGGATACCAGATTGCCTCGCCGCACCAACGAGAAAATAGAACTTGCAATTCTCTGGTTCTTGGATCAGTTTCGTAAAACATATGTTGGCGATCAGCTTCAAAGAACCTCAAAGGTAGGTCATTACTATTGGAAAGCCTCAGCATGATATTGGGGATGAACATAGGTCTGTGATACATCGTACGAATGTAATTGATAACTGATTTCATCTGTTGAATTGGTATTGAAACACATTTTAAAATTAATTTACTTGTTTATATATACATTTATCATTTCTCTAGAGAAATAATACTTTTATGTGGACAGTCATTAAGTACTTTGTATTTTAAAAAACACCTTAATAGATAATATCTTTTATATTTCAAGATTGGAAACAAGCTTTGCTGTTTTAATAGTTTTGAGGGTTGGGGGTGGATTTTAAAGCAATTTCCAGTATATTTCAGACATTCCTTGGCATGCTTATATGAATCATGTTGACTAGCCGAATTTAGATGTAAACAGACAACATTTAAATCATTGTAATGTTGGAGTACTTGTAATGTGATAATTAAAAGGTTAACATCAGCAACTTTTAGATAAATTGATTCAGAGACATAAGAAAAGATTATTGAGGGTGTTTTTGTGAGAACAAGGGAATCCATAGGAATATACACATCCTTCTGTGTTTATGCATTCTGCATCCATGGGTCCAAATAACTGGGCGTTGAAAACAACATTGCATTTGTATTAAACATGTTTTGACATTTTCCTTGTCATCATTCCCTCAAAACATGTTGAAGTTATAATAACACTGGTTGTACATATTGTACATAATCTAGAGATGATCTAAAATATCAGGAAAGATGTGTGTAGGTTATATGGAAATTAAATCCAGAATTCTATTTACTAGTTGCAAAACACTATTTGACCTTAAGACTGTTTTATGGAGTTAGAAGCGTAGTATGAGGGTTAAGTACTAGCTTAGCATAATAAGGCCCTCGATTTAATGCATGGTATGAAAAGTGGGGGCAAGGGGAACGTGAAGGGAGGAGAGAGAGGGAGAGAAAAAAAGACTGACTGATTTTCCTTTAGGATAGACTTCCAGGTACAGTTTTCTTTACCTTTTAAAGAAATGATACTTTCTGCTTGAATATATATGACATTTAAGCACTAACAGTCTCTCCAGTCTGTAGCTTGACAATTTTCCAAAAACTTGCATAGAATGTAGTATATAATATATAAGTAAATAGTTCAGATGCCAAGGTAGGTTCACCAAAGCGTTGTCAATGATACCTGTGTTAGAACTGTATCCCGTAAGTAGAAAAGAAGCTGCAAATCAAACTGGTCATTTATTGAACAGTCAATCTTTGTTAGATTCTTTGCTAAGAACTTGACAAATACTATCTAGTTGATTCTCATAAAACCAATATGGAAATACTTATTTTGTTAACAGTTTCTATTTTATAAACATGGAAACTGAGACTTTGAATGCTTGAATACATGTGTTTCGCATTTGGATTCATACTTGATTGGTTGCCTTATCCAAAGCCTTTCCTGTCATTGTCTTTGCTATATTAGCCTGTGTTGTACCTTTCCACTGGGACATTGAATGGACTCTTCCATATAGGAACTTTGTTGTAAAAACCTTTCTTGCTTTTTGATATTCAGGAAGGATTACATTTAATGAGCCCAAAATTTTTTCATTGTACTTCTATATCTGTCAGCCTCCTGATTTTGGTGGTTTATTTTCTAAGTTTCTGTGTCCACCCTTTTCTCTTGAATTATTTCCTGCATGTTCATTGCTTCTCACTGATTTTAAAAGGATTTTAATTGTAACCCGTTTCTGGCTTTTTTTTTTTCCTTTTTTTTTTTTTTTTTTTTCTTCACTGTTTCATTATTCATTCTGACACTCAGTGTTCATGGAAAATGAGAGGGAAATGTAGTAACCTTTACCATCCTATTACCCAGTTTGGTCTAGTCACAATGCTTTGGTATTTTTGGCTTCATACCTCTGCATTTTAAATTAAACATTGACGACCCTGTTGCTATTTTCATTGTCATTTTTGTATCACATTTTGCCCAAAGGTAGATGTCATAAATTTTGTGTTATTGTCATCTGTGAGTCTGTTCTTTGTTTATGTTTCTATGTATTGGTACACACAATACAATTTTATTAGCTTTAGATGAAACTAGTTTGCAATTGGGATCTGCAATAACTTGCCTGCTATGCTAAGTTCTCTTGTTGAGGTTCATCTGTGATAAGGCATGTGGATTTATTTATTATACTTGAATGGCAATACAGTGTGTTACTGTGATATTATGTACCCAGTTTTTCTTGATGATAACATGCACTATTTACAGTTCTTCAATTCTGTTGTAAATATCCTTCCTTGTTCTTATCACTTCTTGCATGTTTAAGAGCTTGAAGAAATAACAAGTTATGCTAAGTTGTAGAGTGCATGTCTCTAACTTTATTAGAATGTGCAGTTGTCTTTGTAAGTATTATGACAATTTATTTTTGTCTCCCAGCAAGTTAGGTACATTTTATCATTCTTCTTGAAGGATTTACATTTTGACAGTTATCCACCCACCCCTGTGCTTAAAATTCTTTACTGGTTCTTATTATTTACAGGATAAATTTCTCCAATGGTCAAACTTTGCTCACTTTACACCCTTTTCTCTGGATGCTTTATTCCATTCTATGACATGATTTGTGCTGGAAAGGTTGCTTATTTATACTCAGTATGAACTTACTGCTAATACGTATCTACTATGCATTAAAGCCAAGTATAAGAAGGAAATTAGAGCGGTCTATCTCTTTTTTAAAATTTATTTACTTATTACAATTTATTCACTTTGTATCCCTGCTGAAGCCCCCTCTCTTGTCTCCTCCAGACCCACCCACCTTCCCTCTTCTCCCCCTATGCCCTTTCTCTAGTCCCCTGATAGGGGACGACCTCCTCCCCTTCTATCTGACCCTAGTTTATTAGATCTCATCAAGGCTGGCTGCATCATCTTCTCCTTGCCAGTCCACATCCCCCAAGAGTTGGTGATCAAAGAACCAGCCATTGAGTTCATGTCAGAGACAGCCCCTGTACCCCTTACCAGGAAACCCACTTGTAAACTGAGCAGCCTATGGGCTTCCTCTGAACAGAGGGTTTAGGTCCTCTCCATACATGGGCTTTAGTGGGAGTATCGGTCTCTACATGCCTCCTGTGCCCAGGTTTTTTTTGACTCTGTTGGTCTCCCTGTGGAGTTCCTGTCCCCTCCAGGTTTTTCTATCTCCCTCTTCTTATATAACGTTTCCAGTACTCTGCCCAAAATTTGACCCTGAGTGTCAATATCTTCTTCGATACCCTGGCGGTAGAGTCTTTCAGAGCCTCTGTGGAAGGCTCCTGTCCTGTTTCCTTGTCTTCTCCTACTTCCGATGTCTATCTTGTTTGCCCTTCTGAATGAGGATTAAGTATCTTCCCTAGGGTCCTCTTTGTTGTTTAGCTTCTTTAGGACTATAGATTTTAGTATGTTTATCCTATATTATACCATATGTGTCTTTCTGCTTCTGGATTACCTCACTCAAGATAATCTTTTCTAGTTCCCACCATTTACCTGCAAATTTAATGATTTCCTTGTTTTTAATTGCTGAGTAGTATGCCATTGTGTAAATGTACCACAATTTCTGTATCCATTTCTCAACTGAGGGACATCTGGGTTGTTTCCAGATTCTGGCTGTTATGAATAAAGCTGCTACGATCATGGTTGAGCAAATGTCCTTATTGAATGGTGAGGCATCTTTTGGGTATATGCCTAGGAGTGGTATCGCTGGATCTTGAGGTAGCATATTCCTAATTTTCTGAGAAAGCTGCAGATTGATTTCCTAAATGGTTGTACAAGATTATATTCCCACCAGCAATGGAGGAGGGTCCTCCTTTCTCCACAACCTCTCTATCATGTGTTGTCACTTGAGTTTACTCTTCATCTTAGCCATTCTGATGGGTGTAAGGTGAAATCTTTCCTGAATGACTAATGATGTTGAGAATTTTTTCACATGTTTCTCTGCCATTCAGTATTACTCTTTTGAGAATTCTCTGTTTAGCTCTTTTCCCCATTTTTTTAATTGGATTACTTGGCTTGCTGTTGTTTAACTTCTTCAGTTCTTTATATATTCTGTATGTTAACCCTCTGTCAGATGTAGGGTTGGTGAAGATCTTTTCCCAGTCTGTAGGCTGTCATCGTTTTGTTCTGATGACAGTGTCCTTTGGTTTACAGAAGCTTTTCAGTTTTACGAGGTCCCATTTATTAATTATTGGTTTTAGATCCTGTGCTGTTGGTGTTCTTTTCAGGGAGTTGTCTCTGTGCCAATGAGTTCAAGGCTCATCCCCACTTTTTCTTCTAACAGATTTACTGTGTCTGGTTTTATGTTGAGGTCTTTGATCTACTTGGACTTTAACTTTGTGTAGGGTGATAAATATAGGTCTATTTGCATTTTTCTGCATATAGACATCCAGTTGGACCAGCACCATTTGATGAAAATGCTGTCTTTTTTCCATTGTATGGATTTGGCTTCTTTGTCAAAAATTGGGTTTCCATAGGTGTGTGGGTTTATTTCTGGGTCTTTGATTTGATTTCATTGATCCACCGTTCTGTTTCTATGCCAGTACCATGCCGTTTTAATTGCTGTTGCTCTATAGTACAGCTTGAGATCTGGGATGGAGATACTGCCAGAAGATCTTGTATTATACAGAATTGTTTTAGCTATTCTGGGTTCTTTTTTGGTTGTTTGTTTTTCCATATGTAATTGAGAATTGCTCTTTCAAGGTTGATAAAGAATTTGTTAGTATTTTGATGGGAATTGCATTGCATCTATAGATTGCTTTTGGTAGAATTGCCATTTTCACTATGTTAATCCTACGGATCCATGAGCATGGGATATCTTTCCATCTTTTGATATCTTCTTCATTTTCTTTCTTCAGAGACTTGAAGTTTATTTGTGGCTATTGTGAAGGGTGTTGTTTCCCTAATTTCTTTCTCAGCCTGTTTGTCTTTTATATATATAGGAGGGCTTCAGATTTTGTTTTTGAGTTAATTTTCTATCCAGCCACTTTGCTGAAGGTGTTTATCAGCTGAAGAAGTTAGCTT